CATGAATATTTAGCTCATAATAAGCATTAAATGTTAATTATTACTGGATGAATGTACTTGTATTTTAAAAAAAATTTAATTGAGTTAGTTATCAAAACTGAATCAAATGTTATTCAGCATATTTCCACTTTTAAAACTTTCTGTAGCTGTGCTGTTAATTTTTTTCATGTTTTCTTAAGATGCAGTGAAGACCTTATATGAAGGTTTCTCCTGGCATATGCTATTGTTTTACCATGAGAAGTTTTCCTTATTGAGGAGCTGCTTTAGGGCAATGTATATATATTTTAATTTTTGTAAATATGCTTAAAGTGTCTTAGCTTATGGAATAATAATTGGTAGGTAACCGATCTTTGGGTAAAGCAAATAGTCACCCTTTAAGTTCTTAAATAGAATTATTTATTTTCTTTAAAGCAGATATAAATGTTATTTTTTGCCATTTTCCAATATTAGCATGTCTTGCATCCCAACACAGACACAGCTCCTGCTCTAAGAGGAAAGAAGATTAGTTTTGGAATCAAGCTTTGTACATAGTTTTTGGATCCTGAACTTTGGGTAGTTTTAATTAATGTATGTGAGCTACTGTTTTATTATAGAAAAATGTTAATATCTGTTGTATTTAACTCAAAGGGGTCATTGTCACAGTTAAGTGAAAATAAAATAAAAATTTCTATAAAATACTGTATTAAGTTATTTGAATATATTTCATTTTGAAATGATGGGATATGGTGCCCTCTGGCCACTAGAATTTGGTTTAACCAGGAAGCTTAATGGTAAGAGAATAACATAGTATACATAAAATAAGGAACTGGATTACAAACCTTGACAATTAAATAATGATGTTACTTTAAAATGACTCTGGTAGTTAAAGTGAACATTTTGATTTTTGCTTTCTGGCCTTTCTGTAAATATTTGGGTCAATTGAGTGTCTTTTCTGCCCAGGCACTGTTTTAGGCTCTAGACAGCCAGTGAGAAGGCAAGTTACTTATGGTCTATCCAAATTGGTATCCCCCCATTTAATGCCTGTGAAAAGTGCTTATTCTGGAGAGTGCTTTGTCAACTTCATATGATCTTCTGTTTTGCTCATTATTCAGGTGCTTAGCTGCCTGAAATTCTTTGTAGATTAATGTGGAATCCAAAGTGCAACTTGTTGAAACCTCCCTGATCCTTCCAGCAAACTACTTTGTCAGTACAAAGTGATCCTTCCAGAAGTGTTTTTTTTCATGAATTTACATAAAAACATGTACTTCAGGAAAAATACAGTATGTGTGTGTGTATATATATATATATATATATATATATGGGTTTTTGGGGAAAACAATATTATGGTAATAATCTGTGTTCTGTAACTGTTTTTCAGTCAACAGTATATCTGTCCATCTTTTCATGTCAGTAAGATCTTTTTTAAAAAACCTAACCCTAATCTGTTTACTTTCTTTCATATGTCACCACCCTTGTTTTGGCTATCATCATGTCTCTTCTGGATCAGTGGCCCTCTAGTTGGTTTCTCTGCTTCCAGTCTTGCCTCTTATAATTCATTTCCCATAGGCGGCCAGAGTGATCTATTCCAAACATAAGTGAGATTATGTTAACTTTTTGATGAAAAGACTGCAGTGTTTCCTGTTATGGTAAAATCCAAACTCGCCTGTAGAATTCATGATTTTTTTTTTTTCAGATTTTTATTGGGGAATTGGGGGATGGGAACAGTGCTGGGAAATTGGGGGAAGGTGAACAGAAAAGTTGCTGTCGTTTCGTTCTTCAGTCTAATTGTGGAGGACGTCACTTCACTGGCCCAAGTTGGCACCATCATTGCACTCTTCCCGGGCGAGGCAGATCAGTTGCCGGCTTATGGACGACCGCTTACAGCGGCTGCTGGCTGCTGGCTACACACGGTAGCTTATGGCAACCCACTGCAGCAGGGGCTGCAGCCTACGCCGTCACCGGTGACTCACGGCAGCCCAGCTCCAGGTTGAGCTGTTGTTCAGCATCTTAGCTGTAGAGGGCAGTGTCACTGGCCCTCATATGTGGGATCCGAACCGGGGTCCTCTGGCATCCCAAGCCAGCTCTTAACCACCGCGCCACTTGGCCGGCCCTAGAATTCATGATTTTTGATGGCAAGGCTGTTTACCTGTTTTGTTTGTTGGTTTTCCTCAAGTGTCTTGTGCTTGCTAGGTAAATCTTTGTTGAATGTAATTAATGAGTGAACTTGTTGGCCTTGGTGAGTTCTGTGCCTGTTTTTATATCTCATACTATTCTTCCTTGCCTACCTGTTCCAGCCACATTGGCCTTATTCTGTTGCCTGAATTCACCAATCTCTATCCCTTTAGGCTTTTTTTTGCAGGAACTTGAATGTCTTTGCTCCAGTTTTTCCACAGTTGGATTTTTCTTGGCATTTCAGATTTCACTGTAATTGTCACCTGCCCTCAAAGAGGTCTTCTCTAGTCACCAAAATAGTTATCTCTTTATCACTGTAATATCGCTATGCTTTTAAAAAATTTTAATTTAGCTTTAAAATGTAAAAATAAGTGAGAAATTCTTCTCCGTCATCCACCAAAGAGATAATTATATCAGTATCTTCACCTTCCAGAGGCTCTATTTTTTTTGGGGGGGGGTATTTGGGGGGAGGAGAACAGCGTTGGGGAATTGGGGAAGGAGAACAGACAAGTAGAAAAAATTGCTGTTTTTGTTCTTCAGGCTAGTTGTGGAGGACGTCGCTTCACTGGCCCATGTTGGTATGATCATTGTGCTCTTCCCGGGTGAGGCAATTGGTCGCCCGTCATTGGTCTGCCACTCACAGCGACTCCCGGCAACTCACACCGGCTGCCGGCCGCTCATGCTGGCTGCCAGCCACTCAGGTAGCTCACGGCAGCCCACTGCAGCCCTGCTGCAGCCTACGCCATCACCGGCGACTCATAGCAGCCCAGCTCCAGGTCGAGCTGTTGTTCATCATCTTAGCTGTAGAGGGCGATCCGTCACTGGCCCTCAATGTGGGATCTGAACCGCAGCCCTGCTGCTCAGAGCTGGCGCTCCCAAGCGCGCTCTTAACCAGTTGAGCCACTCGACCGGCCCCAGAGTCTCTTTATAGCAGTATAAGCAAATGGCAATATGTATGAAGTAGTAAGTGTTCTTAAACTAGTCTTTATAAAAACAAACAAAAACTGGGCTAAGTAGCTTTATTAGATAAAGAGGATTACAAAGGGTGTAAGGGTTGGCATTGGGGCCCTTAAACCAGTCTAGAAGACCTATACAAACACTGTTTCCTCACATTCTCAGATTACCTACTCTATGAAAATGAGGCTACCGTATATAAACCACTTCAGATTCCCACCCATCCCGTCTACACATTACCTACAATCTCTAGACTCACTCATCATTTTTTTTCTCTTCTAGTTGTTTTTCTTACCTTTAGTCTCTGAGACTAAGGTGATTCATGTTCAGGACTAGTTCTACTGTCCATGCGGTGACCTTATCCTCTCCATCTGCTCAGGAACTTGATTTCTTTCTTTTTGGATCTTCACTGCTAGCTCTCTGCTGTCTCTGGCTTCAGCACAGCCTTGCATGCGTAGTAGGTGCTCAGAAAATATTAGTCGAATATAGCAGAGAGATGAAGCGTTCGGACTATTGAGTTATTAAGACCTGTGTTTGCATTCTAGCTGTGTGACTTGGGCATGTTAGTTGGCATCTCTAAGCCACAATTTCTTTATTTTTTGGGGGGAACAGCGTGTTTTTCCAGGACCCATCAGCTTCAAGTCAGGTAGTTGTTTCAATCTAGTTGTGGAGGGCACAGCTCTGTGGCCCATGTGGGGGTCGAACTGGCAACCTTGGCGTTATGAGCACTGTGCTCTAACCACCTGAGCTAACTGGCCACCCCACAATTTCTTAATCATTAAAATGGGACAAATATTATAGCTATATCAAGGGCTGTTTTGAAGATGTAACTGAAAAGTGGATTGTATTTATTTCTTGTAGCTGTTGTAGCAAATTACCACAAACTTGGTGGTAAATAAGTTTTCTTAAAGCAACAAATTTATTCTCTCAGTCCTGGAGGTCAGAAGTCAGAAGTCAGTGACACTGAGCTCAAATCAAGGTGTCAGCAGGGCCTTGCTTGCTCTGGAGGCTCTGGGGGAGAATCTGTTCCTTGCCTCTTCCACATTCTGGTGACTGTGGCATTCCTTGGCTGCCTCCTGGCTCTCCTCCAATCTGCCCTGTGGTCCCACCCTCTTTCTTAGGCCTATAATCTCCTTCCACCTCCCTTTGGTAAAGGCTGTTATGATTGCATTTAGGGCCCACCCAGGTAATCTCATTTTTAAATCCTTAGCCATAATCATATCTGCAAAGACCCCTTTTCCATATCAGGTAACATTTACAGGCTCCAGGATTTGATTTCTTTGGGGGCCATTATTCAGACCAATACATCCATAGAAAGTGCACTGCATAGTGCCTGGCAAATAAGGATTTAAGGCTTCTTGATAGGGTCAAGAAAGATTTCAGACTCTGAGATGGATTTAATCATACAGTTACATGGGAACCAGGGAGGATGAGAAGAAGGGATTTAAAAGATGAGGTAAGGGAAATTAAGGATTAGACCATGTCATTTTATTTAGTAGAGTGACAAATGGGATAAATATATAGCCAAGGGATTTTTATTGTCAGATTTTGGTTATTTTGCTGTTCAAATGTATGTAGGAATATTTACCTGTTTTCAAGTGTAAATAATGTAAATAGTGTAAATAAGGTGGTAGAGGTGGGACTGTACTGAATGTTATTATTGAAAATTGGGTAATTACCTTTGCATATTGCAAGAAGTTCAGATGTAAACTATAAGAAATGGTTAGTGAATGAGAGAAGATCACAAAATTTTTCTGGATATTGGATAATAATCATTCACATTTAGAATAAAAAAGAAAGTAAGAGTACTTAAAAGAAGATTCTTTGAATTAGAGTAATGTGAAGAGTCATGTGCTGACACTGGTGTTCTTTCATTTTTTCTGTCTCCTTCACAGGTTGCTGGGCATGGACACAGGTGCAGTGGGAGGACTGGAACTGACTGATCAGACTTCTGTTCTGTTAGGGAGCACGGCGATGGCAGCTAGTCTCACAAATGTCGGAAATTCATTTAGTGGTCCACCTGCGCCTTTAGTTTCTAGATCTAATAAATTTCAGAACTCATCGGTGGAAGACGATGATGATGTTGTTTTTATTGAACCTGTACAACCTCCCCCACCTGCTCCGGTGGTAGCTGATCACAGAACCATAACACTCACATCATCAAAACATGAGGAACTCCAAGGAAACGATTCCACAGCTCTTTCTTCCTCAAAAGAGTTGGCTTCTCAGAAGGGGAGTGTAAGTGAGACAATTGTCATTGATGATGAAGAGGACATGGAAACAAATCAAGGGCAAGAGAAAAATTCCTCCAATTTTATTGAACCTCGGAGACCTCCTGAGACTAAAAACAGAACCAATGATGTGGATTTCTCCACTTCCGGTCTTTCAAGAAGTAAGGTAAATGCAGGAATGGGTAATAGTGGTATCACCACAGAACCAGACTCTGAAATTCAGATTGCTAATGTTACAACCTTAGAGACAGGTGTGAGCTCTATGAATGATGGGCGAGATATGAACTTAATGATTACACATGTAACATCACTGCAGAATACCAGCTTGGGAGATGTCTCTAACGGACTGCAGTCAAGTAATTTTGGTGTTAATATACAAACATACACCCCATCTTTAACTTCACAGACCAAGACTGGAGTAGGACCTTTTAATCCTGGTAGAATGAATGTGGCAGGAGATGTATTTCAGAATGGAGAATCTGCAACTCATCATAATCCTGGTAAGCCGTGAGTGGTCTTCTACCCCAAGTAAATGAATTAAACTTTGGCTGATTGTTTTTTCATTGTAGTAATTGATGCCACTTTTGTTAGTTTATTAATGTAAGATATGTTAATTCTGTTTACTTCTGAGTTTGAAATCTTAGCTAATAAGAGACATAAAGCCATGTATAGTATCTTTCTGCAATTATTAGAAAATTAATCACAGAAATTTATGTGTAAAGGATTAAAAAAATACTCCTTATATTTACCACCACTCAAGTCTAACAATTTAGCATCTTATTTGTCCTGTACTCACTTGTTTTTGTACTTAATTTTTGTCTAATATTAATGTGTAAATAGAGAACAAAAAGATGTACACACTTAAGGAGCAACATAATGTATAATTGCATTTAGATTTGTTTTTACTGTCTCTGTTTAATTTTGACGCCTATATGATTTTAATTTTTACTCATTAGCATTTTTTGTACTTCTATATTTGAAGGTTGGTAAATTTTTTGAGTATTTCAACATTTTTTCTGTAGGCAGCTTTGCTCTGTGGACACTAAGAACTCTGGCTTTCTCTGGCTTTCTCATGACCATGTCTGTATATGTCTCTTTCTCTCACCTGCTCCCAACTACTTGTATCTGCCTCTGGCTCTGTCATATACCCCTCTCTGTGTCTGGCTCATTCTTTCATCATTTTAGATGAAAGCAACTTTATCAGCCTGGGAATTGTGGAGAATAATAAGAAATGACTAAAACCTAGGCAGTGTAGAATGCCCTGTGAAATGACAGTCATTTTTCTTTTTTACTTATTCTGTTTTTGGCTAAGAGTAATGTCTAATATTAAAGAATGTTTGAAAAACCCATAATTAAAAAATGAGGGAAAAGTTCCCTATAGTCTTATTAACTAAAGATTAATTCTTTGAGTGGTTGTCTTTCAGTCTTTTTGTTTTTAAACTTGGTTGAAATGCACATCTATAATTTTGCTTCCAGTTTCTTCTTCATTTATTATATTATATTAATACAATTAACATTATTTACAAAATTAACAAAAGTTTTAATGTCTGTACAATGAGTATGACTATACCATTCTCATATTTAGCTTTTCCCATATTTTGCTTGTAGGTCTATAATGAACATTTTTGTTCAAATTTCTGAATATTTCTTTAGAGTATATTCCTAGAAGTGAAGTTACTTGGCTAAAGGATATCACTACACCCATCCCCCTAAAGGTTTTTGTTTTAAAAACTATATTTGGTTCATAGTGATTTTGAAAGAAATATGTTCCTTATTTTACTCAGTTTTGAAAATTTTTCATGCATCCCAGGACTCTTTCCGTGTGTGTGTGTGTGTGTGTGTGTGTGTGTGTCAGAGAGAGAAAGAGAGAGAACCAGAGAGAGAGAGAGATTGTATGTATTAGTGTTTTTAGGTTGTCGAAATAATATTGTCATACTACCTTCCAGAAAGTTCTTGCCAACTTATGTCACTACCAGTTGTGTGTTTAGAGTGTCTTTAATTGTAACCTTCCAGTTCACATTAATGTTTAAGATATGATAATGCTCAAATCAATTTTAAAATGGCTATTTTGTCTTATAATTATAAATATGTTAAAAATATAAGAGGATGAAACAGAAAATAACATTCAGTCTCACCATTGAGAATGGTGCATTTAATTCTAACCTGAGATCATAGTATAGATGTAGTTTTGCAAACTCTTCCCTCCAACTACCCCTTTAAATACCTAGTGATCTTGAACTTTTGATGGTATCAAGTATATATGCTTGAATTTGTTAAGTCTCCATTTAGCTCGGTTCCAGATTTTACTCTTCAAATAACTGTTAAGAATATACTTATGAATATATCTTGGGATGCCTGTTTCTATAAGAATGTTCCTGGGTCGAAGGGACATATGATCATAAGAATTGTGTTCCTATTTACTCAAACTCTTACATGAGGGAATGCAAAGTACTCATCAGAAAATTTAAACAGAAGTACCTGCTGCTCTTGTGTTTTATGAATTAGATCCTGTGTTTATGTGCTGTCTTTATTTGTAATAGAGAGTTATAAAATCTTGGCTATTTGTACTGACTCTTGGATTGATTAAACTGCTACACCTTGATGTCATGTCCGTTGTATAAAATAGAGGGTTTAGATAAAATGATTAGGTCCCTTCTATTTCTAAAAGTATTTTGGTGTTGGAAGAGGTGAAAATGTGAAAGTACAGAAAATGTGAGGCCTGAGAGATTACATTGTTTCTACAGGGCCTAAAACTAAATTGAAAAGTAAAACGTCGTTTTTTTCTAAATCAAGTTAATAGGTGCCCTTAAGTTGAAATAGGTTCCTTTAAGTATATATACAAATAATAAACCTACAAAATTGAAAATCCTAAGGAGCCAGTATATATGTTGCAAAAAGCTATTCCTTCTAGCGTATGTTCAAATATAATTTTTGATCGCAGGCCCTTCAGAAAATAGATTGCCAGTTCTTTCAGGGATTTACTTTCTTCGTCTTCATTAGTATTGTTACCCATTTGTTAAAACTGTTCAGTTACCCTGATGATAGTAGGAAACAGGATTCCAGAATGCACTCTGTTTATTCTATAGTATATGTATTTGTGGGGGCAGTTGTGGAGTGAGGTAAAACCTGAATAGCAGTGGATGTAGCCTGTTGAGACTGGTTGTGGACTGGGTCAGAACTAGGATGGCACCCTCTTCCAGTTTTTGTAGTAAAGAAGTTTCCCTGAGCTTTGGATCTATTTGTACTTACTGTGGAAGGGGAAAAAAGCATTCATGATATGGAAGGGCAGTTCTTATGTATGCAAGTTCAAAATTGAGAAGAAACTCAAACTGAAAAATTTTACAAGAGATCAAAATGGTAGAAATTAGAAGTGGTGGCCTGAAGTTTCAAAATGAAAAAAGCTTATGGTATTGGTGGTGTAGTGAGGCCTTTGGGACAGTGACAACTCAGTAAGCTGGGGACTGCAGCTGAGTACCAAAGAAGCTCACTATTAGAGAAAAGCTGACAACCATGCCTGTCTGTGCTACGTGGTGCCTTCAACGCATTGCGACGCTGGCACTGGTGGTGCGTGCTACAGCAGTACGTGGGATTGGTTACTACATGCCGGCTTAACGTCATTTCTGTGGGACATTTCTAAATTTGGTGTTATGTGGTATATTTATATGCCGCAGAACTAAATGTGTACATGGAAAAGCCGTTCTTAAAAAGATGTTTTGATTATAATTGTATATAAACTTTAACAGACCTGTATTATATCTGTCAAAGGTTCTGGGTGGTCAAGATTTTATTATACTTTTATGTTGATGTATGTGTTCCTTGTTTAAAGTGACATTCTGCAAATTAATTCCTTTAATAACTAATGCCTAATATTTTTTAGTGCTTCCTGTGTGCTAGTCACAATGGTTTATTACATGAATTATCTCATTTAATGTTATCATTCATGTGATGTTGGTACCATTTCCAGTTTAGAGAAGAGTTAGGCACAGAGTTTAAGTAACTCCCAGGTCTAGTAAGTGGTGGAGCCTGAAAGTCAACCAGCCATTCTTACTCCAAAACTTGTATTCTTTACCTCTCTGCTGTTCTGCTGTTTATTAAAGTTTTCAACATGTACAGAATGGGGGGTTAAAACTGTTTCTCTGATGTAATTTCAGTGTGTCTAAATACCTGTTTCATTATTTTTTCTTGTGCATTTTGTTTTTAAGATTCTTGGATTTCCCAGTCAGCATCATTTCCCCGTAATCAGAAACAGCCAGGGGTGGATTCTTTATCACCAGTGGCCTCACTTCCTAAACAGATTTGCCAGCCTTCAGCCCAACAGCAACCCACTAAACCAGTTAAAGTCACTTGTGCAAACTGCAAAAAACCTTTACAGAAGGGACAGACAGCTTATCAACGAAAAGGATCAGCTCACCTCTTTTGTTCTACCAGCTGCCTTTCCTCCTTCTCCCACAAACCTGCTCCAAAGAAACTCTGTGTTATGTGTAAAAAGTAAGGTTTACCTTTTAACATAATTCCGTATGGTTGAATATTGGTAGTATAAAATTTTAGGAAAATTACCAGAGTCTTAGAAGTGAATACTGTGTTTTAAAAATTGGTAAGCTAGTTGATTGAATCTTAAAGACAAACTCAAACTTGTGTTGAATTTGTAGGGTTCTGTATAAAGTTCAGGTGGCTTAGGATTAAAAAGCTTCCTGTTTTGGGCTGCCCAAGTGGCTCAGTTGGTTAGAGCAAAAGCTCTGAGCAACAGGGTTGCCGGTTTGATTCCCACATGGGCCGTGCCTGAGCTGAGCTGCCAACAGGCAGCAGGATGGCTCAGCTGGTGAGAGCACGTGTTCCTAACAACAAGACTGCCGGTTCGACTCCCATATGGGATGGTGGGCTACGGCCACCCATAACCAAGATTGAACACAGCACCTTGAGCTGAGCAGCCTCGAGCTTCTGATGGGCGGACGGATGGTGACTGGACTTGGAGCTGAGCTAGCTGCGCCCTCCACAACTAAGACTGAAGGACAACAGCTTGGCTGCTTCCCTTCCCCAATTCCCCAACACTGTTCCCCTTCCCCAATGCCCTAATAAAATCTTAAAAGAAAAAAAAAAAAGGCTTCCTGTTTGGATAGGCTTTGGGGTTGACTTAGATACTAGGCCCTTGTAATTAAATTTATCTGTAATCTCCATTAGACTCCTTGAATTTGTAAAAACACATACATATTTTTAAATATTAATTATAAGAATTTCGTTCTAACCAGATAAAATTGTTAAGCAGTTTACATATGACTATCTGTATTAAAATATTGGGTTGTCGGAAAAGTCATGATGCATTTTTACAACAAAAAACATAGAAAAAATACATCATGACTTTTCTGACAACCCAATAGATTGAATTTTACACTGTCTTCATATTAAGATTATGTAAAATTGACAGGCCTTTGCATTTTACATGGGTTTATGTGTTTTGAATATTAAGTCCTTAGAATACTCTGTTTCAAGACAGATACCAGTTTTTTGACAGCCTTGGAGAGACTGGATGCTCTCGTTTGCCAATTTTTTTAATTTTTTTATTTTTTTTTTATTTTTATTTTTTGTAAGCTGAGCCATCCTGCTACCTGTTGGCAGCTCAGTGGCTGCTCAGCTCGGGCTGGACTCGAACCGCTGTTGCTCAGAGCTCAAACTCTTGAGCGAGCTCTTAACCAACTGAGCCACTCGGCCGGCCCTCGTTTGCCAATTTTTAGGTCTGGCTTCACTAGTTAAAAATTAAGTGGAATCTGGTATATATGTGCAGGGTCAAACCAGGTGGATTTTTTTGTACATGTCGTAGAGCAGCCCATGTTTGTGAACATGTTTTTGATCTTAGAACTTTGGAAAGGGCTTAGTGCTGTGTACAAATTTAATAAATTCAAACATTGGAACAATTGTTACATACTTTTTTTTTTAAAGATTTTATTGGGGAACTGGAGGAGGAAACAGCATTGGGAAATTGGGGAAGGGGAACAGACAAGTTGCTGTCCTTTTGTTCTCCAATCTAGTTGTGGAGGATATCGCTTCACTGGCCCATGTTGGTGTTGTGATCATTACATTCTTCCCGGCTGAGGCAGATTGGTCGCTGGCCATAGGATGGCGGCTCATGGCAGCTCACGCTGGCTGCCAGCCACTCACAATAGCTTACAACAGCCCACTGCAGCCCCATTGCAGCCTATGCTGTCACTGGCGACTCATGGCAGCCCAACTCCAGGTCGAGCTGTTGTTCACCATCTTAGCTGTAGAGGGCGCAGCGTCACTGGCCCTTGTGGGATCCAAACCAGCAGCCCTGCTGCTCAGAGCTCGCACTCCCAAGCCGACTCTTAACCAACGAGCCACTCGGCCAGCCCTGTTATATACTTTTTAGATTGTTTATAGTAGTAGACTTGCATACTGCAAAATAGGATCTCGAAATTCAGAATTAAAGGAAAAACTTCAAAGGCCATCAATATTGTCATTTTCTAGCATTTGTAAGTACAATTAGAGATCTGTAGAGAATGGTGGTTGGGGTTATTTTGGCTTGTGGGGGTGTCTTCAAGTTCAGTTTTCCTCGTTAGAATGTATATCATGTTCCCATGACCTAGATATCTCATGCTTTATACTTACCAAAGGGAGGGGAATTGAATAGGTATTGTAAATTTATACCTCAGCACATTGGGCCTTGACATTAAATGCTATATAAATAATAAGTTTTTTGTTTATAACATGTTTCCGGTATCTGGAAGCCTTGTTAAGGAGCTTGAGGGTAAATTAGGTAATGGCAAGGATTTAATTGTATAAAATAGTTTTGCTTCGATGGAAATTAAAAATATCAGTTATTACTCTTATGATTGCTTTTTTTTTTTTTTAAGTAGAATTTTAGTTTAAGTTGTTCCTCTTATTTTCAGAGATATAACTACAATGAAAGGAACCATTGTCGCCCAAGTGGACTCAAGCGAGTCGTTCCAGGAATTCTGTAGCACGTCTTGTTTGTCTCTCTATGAAGACAAGCAGAATCCTACTAAAGGAGCACTCAATAAATCAAGATGTACAATTTGTGGTAAACTAACAGAGGTTTGTACTTTTGTGCTTTTTTTTTTTTTTTAAAGATTTTATTGGGGAATTGGAGAGGAGCAGCGTTGGGGGAATCAGGGAAGGGGAACAGACAAGTTGCTGTCCTTTTGTTCTTCAATCTAGTTGTGGAGGATGTCGCTTCACTGGCCCATGTTGGTATTATCATTGCGCTCTTCCCGCATAAGGCAGTTGCTCACCGGCCATTGGACGGCCACTCACGATGGCTCACAGGAGCTCACGAAAGCTCATGCCTGCTACTGGCCAGCCCCACTGTAGCCTACACTGTCAACAGCGACTCACGGCAGCCCAGCTCCGGGTTGAGCTGTTGTTCACCATCTTAGCTGTAGAGGGCAGTGTCACTGGCCCGCATGTGGGATCCGGGGGCCCTGCTGCTCACAGCAGGCGTCCCAAGCCACCAACTAACCAATGCGCCACTCGGCTGGCCCTGTACTTTTGTGCTTTTTATCACTCAGTTCCAACTAATGGAAATATTTTCAATTGTATTAACATACTCTTATCAGTGTATATTTCCTTATTAGTGAGGATATATAAAATCGATCTGCTAAGTATTCCATTATGTAATCCCATTTTCCTCTAGGGAGAATGATTTAGGAAAAATTAAAATATAATATGAATTGATTATTTTTTCCCGAGGTTAGGAGTACTCAGACAAAACTAGTGATTCAACAAATATCCTGACTGCATGAGGAAGACAGTCTTGCTTAAGAAGTAGAACCGTGTGTATGAAAGGAGAGAAAGTTAGCACTCCCCTTGACAAGGATGGAAGAGGCCTTCAGGCCTAACTATGGGCATATGGTTAAGGCATTACCACCTGCTTCATGGCATGTAACCATTGTTTTTATTGGTAGTCACAAAATAGTCACGAGGATGTGAAATACAGTATGGGGAATATAATCAGTAATGTATAGATTATGTAGGATGCCAGATGGATACTGGACTTAAATCAGGTGGATCACTTCATAGATTGTGTACATGCCTGACCACTGCGCTGTACACCTGAATCTGATGTAGAATAATATTGAATGTCAACTGTAATGAAAATATATCTATATCGATATAGATATATATGTATATATATCTATATAGATATCAATATATTCATGGGATGTAAAGTACAGCATAGGGAATATAGTCAGTGGTATTGTAACAGCTATATATAATGTCAGGGGTAGTAAACTTGGTGGGTTATCCCTTTGTGTGGGGTGTAAATGTCTAATCATTATGTTGTTTCATACACCTGAAACTAATGTAAAAAATAAAAAATAAAGCACTCACCCACACACACACTTGAAGTAGAACCAGTGGAGGGATTATTTTTTTGATAATTTCACATTATTAATATGGTATTAAAAGTATTTGCATTTGACTAAAAAAAAAGAAACCTGTGTATACATACCTCATTTGAATTATTTATTAGATTGGTTCTCTTCCTTTTTCTAGAGCACTGCAACTACTTATAGTTCCTTTTTGAATTTGTCTAAAGATTTCCAGCCTGTTTGTTTTAGAAGTTTTATACTAACACTATCCAAACTGGGTTGTTTCATTTTTAGATGTCTCCAGAGAAGTTTGTGGTGATATCAGTGGGTTCCCACCATACATGTATTCTTTGTATGTATAAATATGGTTCAGAGAACAATGAAATGTACTTTGTCTTTCCTTTTCCCTTAAATGAGCCTTCTATAGAAAAAATTGGGGCATTTTCTTTTTATTGGAATACCTCGTTATTTGTCTACTTGTCATACTCATTTGTTTTTAAATATTTTTGTTTTTTAGATTCGCCATGAAGTTAGCTTTAAAAATATGACTCATAAGCTGTGCAGTGACCACTGCTTTAATAGATACAGAATGGCCAATGGTCTGATAATGAATTGCTGTGAACAGTGTGGAGAGTACCTGCCCAGCAAAGGTGCCGGGAATAGTGTCCTGGTGGTTGATGGTCAGCAGAAGCGTTTCTGCTGCCAGAGTTGTGTCAGCGAATACAAACAGGTAATTCATGATCTAATCAAAAACTCCCTTTCTTTTGAATGTTTCGAATTGCTCTAATAGTTTAATAGCACTTATTAACCTGATTTATCTTGGAATCTCATTTAATTTCGTTATTGTCTTTCCAATTTACATCTTGGAAATGACCTATCTCAAATGAGTACTGAAATATATGTAGATTATTAGAAATAAACTGTGATTTTACACATAAAGGTAAATGCTACCAAAATGATTTCCCTCTTTTTTTTTTTTTTTTTTAAATGATTCTTCCTCTTCTGAATTTTCTTATTCGGATGGTGGAGGGGTTGCAAATACAATTTTTTAAATTGTTAAAGCGTAGGTTAGGACTCATTGTCTCATTTATTTTTCGATTTTAAGATTAATTTCATTTTTAAGGTCTTTTTGATTTAGTTTATTTTTTAATTTATACATATGGTTCAAAAGTAAGATAAGTATAAAAAGACATACTCAGAGAAGTCCAGCTCCCATTTCTGTCTTCTTTTGTTTCCTACTCATCCTTTATGGTGTCACTGTTCAGTTTTTACTATTTTATGTTTTCTGTTCTTTATGAAAAATTAAGGAAATACATAATTCATTTAAGTTCCTCGTTTTCCTATGCAAAAGATAGCATATTGTATATACCATACTGCACCTTCCAATTTTTCACCTCACAGTGTATCTTGGAAATTATTCTCTATCATAGACCTTTCTTCTTTTTGTGGTATGGCTGCACAAGATACATTTTCATGAATTTTGTGAGCCAGTTGTTAAAAACACCCATTATTAAAAATTAAATTATAGAAACTTATAGATAAATTATATTTGTATTAATCTGCTAGGCCTGCCATAATAAAATACCAAAGACCGGAAGGCTCAAACAATAGAAAGTTATTTTCTCACTGTTTTGGAGCTAGAAGTCCTAGATCAAAGTGTTTTTCTGGATTGGTTCCTGGTGAGGCTGCTGTTTCAGGCTTGCAGATAGCCTCCTTCTTGCTGTGTCCTCACATGGTTTTTCCTCTGCGCAAAAGGAGACATAGAGGGATAAAGACAGATATATTGATCTCTGGTATCTTTCTCTTCTGTAAGACATTTGTCCAGTCCGATTAGAGTCCCACCCTTAGGACTTCATTTCACTTTAACTGTCTCCCTACAAGCCCTATTCTAAATACAGTCTCATTGGGATTAGGGCTTCAAGATAGGAATTTTTGGGGAACACAATTCAGACTATAACAATATTGAAAAGAAAGAAAATATTCAAAACTTATCACTTCCTAATTATTTTATTACATTTATTGTATTATGTGTGTTCTGAAGATTATTTTCACATACTGTATTTGTATGATGGAGATATTATCCATAATGGTGTGCTTCTGTGCATCATTTTCCAATTTCATGTTCAGTTTTGTGTTGGCAGCCTGAAATTAGCTATAGTGGGAGTATTTTCATGGTAGATGCTACAAATTATGATGGATCCCCTCACCTCTCAAGAGCTAGTTGTTAACCACATACAACATAACACTGTGCTGTATGTTAGTTGATTTGATCACTTTGCTGGTGACGATATTTGGATTATTTCCAGTCTTTTGCTCTTACAAGTACCCTCGTACATAGATGCTTAACTCTGTATTTGTGGAGGTGTGGTTTCAGGTTAGATTCTTTTTTTTTTTTTTTTTTTAAGATTTTATTGGGGAATCGGGGGAGGGGGAACAAACAAGCTGCTGTCCTTTTGTTCTTCACTCTAGTTGTGGAGGACGTTGCTTCACTGGCCCATGTTGGTATTATCATTGCGCTCTTCCCTGGTGAGGCAGATCAGTTGCTGGCCTCTGGACGGCCGTGCATGGCGGCTGTTGGCCGCTCACGCTGGCTGCCAGCCACACACGGTAGCTTATGGCAGCCCACTGCAGCAGGGGCTGCAGCTTATGCCGTCATCGGCAACTCACGGCAGCCCAGTTCCAGGTCGAGCTGTTGTTCACCATCTTAGCTGTAGAGGGCAGTGTCACTGGCCCTCATGTGGGATCCGAACCGGGGCCCTGCTGCTCAGAGCTGGCGTCCCAAGCCAGCTCTTAACCAACGCACCACTTGGCTGACCTGGGAGTAGATTCTTAGAAGCAGGATTGTTTGGCCAAAGTAGTTTGTAAGATATTATTCAATGTGTGTTAGAGTTGTACCAGTTTGCATTCCTTTTAGTAATATTTTGCAATTGCCTATTTCACAATAGCCCCTCCAGCAGAGAATATTAACATGTCATTCCATTTGGTAAAAATGGCATGTTAGCATAGTTTTAATTCGTATTCCTTTTATTAGGCATGATGATGAACAGTATTTCCTATTTCGGAGTTAATTGTATTTTCTGTGACCTATTTGTTTACATCTTTGACCTGTATTTTGGTTTGGGCTGTGACTGTCTCAAAATTTTTTCACATTAAGTTGAATATTTATTTTAATGAGCAAAATGCGTTGGTAATTTAATTGAGAGGAGGCTTTAAAATGCACAAATTTACTAAAATAAGAAATGACAAGCTGGACTTAAGAAATCAAAAGAGAAATATGAAAATCAATTGTAAGACTACATTGTATGACCCTAGGTAAAAATGTTGGAAACCTAGGTGGATTAAAGGAGTAATTTTCTATGAAAATATAATTTTCTTAAATTTACTCCAGAGCAAATATAATGAAACAGAGAAATTTCCATAGAAGAAATAGAGATTATTATTAAAGAACTACCTCACACAAAAAAATTGTGCTAAAATGGTCTCGGGAATTCCACCCAATCTAAATAAACCAGGTAATCTCAGTGCTATTTCAACCATTCCAGAGCATAAAAAAGTAGGAAAATAATGTGTGTGTGTGTGTGTGTGTGTGTGTGTGTGTGTGTGTGTGTGTAATTTTAACTGCTAAATAAGTATATATAACATAAAATTTCCAATTTAAAAAATTTTTAAGTATATGATTGAGTGGCATTATATTCATAATGTTGTGCAACCGCAACCATCATCTCAATTTCCAAAACTATTTCATGACCCCAACAATGAGAGTTAAGCCAGTAACTCGTCATTTTCTTCTACCCTTAGTTCCTGGTAATTCCTAACCTACTTTCTGTCTCTGTGAATTTTCCTATTCTGGATATTTCATATAAGTCGACCCATACAATATCCTTTTGTGTCTGCTTTATTTCACTTAGCATAATGTTTTGTTTCATCCATGCCATAGCATTACTTCTTATGGCTGAATAATATTCACTGTATGTATATCACATTTTGTTTATCCATTCATCTGTTGATGGATATTTCGGTTCCTTCCTCCTTTTGGCCTTTGTGAATCATGGTGCCATGAACATTGGCATATGAATATCAGTTTGAGTCCCTGTTTTCAATTCTTGTGGGAATATACTTAAGAGTGGAATTCTTGGGTTGTAGGGTAATTCTACATTTAGATTTTTGAGAAGCTGTCGAACTGTTTTCCACAACAACTACGGTATATCATTTGACATTTCTATCAGCAATATATGAGGGTTCCATTTACTGTATATCTTTGCCAACACTTATTTTCCATTTTAAAAAAATTGCTTTTTTATTATAGTTCATCTTAGTAGATGTGAGGTGGTATCTCTTTGTGGTTGTGTTTGCATTTCTCTGATGACTACCATTGTTGAGCAGGTATTCATGGGCTTGTTGACTATTTGTATATCTTCTTTGGAGAAGTATCTATGGAAGTCCTTTGCCCATGTTTGAATTGTGGTATTTTTCCTTTTATTGAGCTGTAGGAATTCTTTATATATTGCGAATGTTAATCCCTTATCTGATACATATGATACACCTGATACAATATCTTATAGGTATTACTGTCTGCCATATGTAGACTGTCTTTTTACTTTCTTGATAATTTCATTTCATGCAGAAAAGTTTAGTTTTAATGAAGTCTAGTTTACCTCTGTTTTTCTTTTGTTGATCGTGTTTTTGGTGCCAAATCTAAGAATTTGTTGCCAAATCAAAGGTCCAGATGGTTTATCTCTATATTTTCTTTTAACAGTTTTATGGTTTTAACTTTTATATTAGGTCTTTGGTTCATTTTGAATTAATTTTTGTTTATGACTTCATTCTTTTGTCCATGGAGATCCAGTTGTCCCAGCACCATATGTTGAAGAAACTATGATTTTCCAATGGAATGGACTTGTCACACTTCACAAATATTAATTGGCCATAGATGAGTGGGTTTATTTCTGGACTTTCAATTCTGTAATCAGGAAATTTGTTCTTCTTTTTCAAGATTGTTTGGATATTTTAGACCCATTTAAATTTTATATGAACTTGAGGATTTGCTCTTCCATTTCTGCAGAAGAGTATTAGAATTTGATAGTGATTGCACTGATTGTTTTGAGTACTGTTGACATTTCAGCAATGTTAAATCTTCCTATCTATGAACATGGGATGACTTCTCATTTATTTAGGTCTTCCTTTGTTTCTTTCAGCAGTCTTTTGTAGTTTTCAGTGTACAAGTCTTCAATCGTTGGTTATATTTATTTCTAGGTATTTTATTTTTTTTTTAGACACTATTGGTAATAGAATTGCTTCATTAATTTCATTTTCAGATTGTATATTGCTATTGTTTAGAAACATAACTAATATTTGATTATTGATCTTGTATCCTGCAACTTTGTTGAAATCATTTATTAGCTTTAGTAGCTTTATTGTGGATACCTTGGGATTTTTCTGTATAGAGAGTCATGTCATCTGCAAATAGCCATAATTATACTTTCTTTCCTATTTGAATGCCTTTTATTATTTTTTTCCAAATTATTCTGGCTAGAACTTGGACTATTATGTTTAATGGAAGTGATAAAAGTGGGCATCCTTGTCTTGTTCCTTTTCTTAGCAGAAAAGCTTTATGTCTTTCACCATTGAATATAATGTTAGCTGTGGGTTGTTCATATATGGCATTTAATATGTTGAGGTATGTTTATTCTAGTCCTAGTTTGTTGAGTGTTTTTTTTTATCATAAAAAGA